TTATCTTAAACAACACGAAATTAGTTGTGTAGGAGTCGAATTTCAAAAACTAATTCGTAATTATCATTACACACATTTTTTCAAATATTGTGAAAAAAAGGAAACCTCTGTATTTCAAAAATTGGAGGCCTCGGACTATTTTTAACTGTTTAACTGTATGCGGGACAAACGAACAATAAACACTTAATTTTTTTGCACTAATTATTCGTTTTTAGACATATACAATCGATCTTCAATGTATGAGAAATCTCACTCCAATCGCCCGTGACTTAAGGATACTACACCCTTTCGGCCAAAATTCACGTTTTTTTTTCATTTTCCTGACAAATTATTGATCGGATTGACGCGAAATAATATACTGTTTTTGCGTTTTATCATTATTGACTGACTCACGAAGTTTCATGGTAATGCAATCATTTTCTTACATTTTTTCTAAAATTTTGTGAATTTCCGAATTTTTTTAGAAAAAACGCAGGAAAGTGATTGCACGATCATGGAATTTCATGAGCCATTAAGTAATGATAAAACGCAAAAACGGTAACTTATCAGGAAAAATTCTTGAATTCATAAAAGAATTCTAATTCCATAGAACCGCGTGATAATTTTCCGAGAGAAAAAATTGTTGAAGAGCCTCGTTTTTTTTTCCTGTTCACGTCATCAATTCCTCCTCCACCAGCGTTCAGACCTTTTCTCCACCGGAAAAATGTTTGACCTGAAAATTTCTGAGAAGTAGCACTCCCCCCGAGACTCTCCCCTTCGTTTTCTCCACCAATAAATTGGAGAGTAAGAAGTCCGGATTATCAAAGCCGGAAGTTGATAAAACTCGAGGTTCTGTTATTTCCATTTTATTTCATTCATGGAGAGAGGGAAGAGTGATTCAGGCCACGGGTGCACTTCCTATTGAGTAACGGGTGTTATCACGAGTATTTTTTGTTCCTCCCACATCTCAGCATTCCAAACCCATTTATTTGACGGTAGGCCATTCCACTTTTATTTGACCAGCATTGGGTATATTTCGTACCGGGGAAACAAAGGCGACGCTGGCGTAAGGAGTATGGTTGAATATAGCGGCAGGTGTTAATACAGCAGATGTTACTTTCGTTCCCGTTTCCTTCTGAACTCTTCAAACTTTATGAAAAAAGTCAGAGGAAATCAGGCGAAAAATTATTCGAGGGAGCGTAAAACTAAAAAGGGAGAAAAGGGTTTTAAAAATCTCATCAAACTTTTCTCTGAGAATCTTGTGAGCTACCAAAAAGGTCTCTAACAGGACATCGAGAGAAAAACAAACAAGTGTTGTTTGCGCCAACAAAATCGCTAGTTGTTTAATCCGAATTTGAAAGTCTCAAACAGAAATAATTTCAATGCTTTCGACAGCAATGAAATAATTGGCTCAAGGGACGAATGATTCACACGAGACCGTGCCTTTTCAGGACGAAAGTGTCTCATAGAGAAAAGTATCAAGAAATAGTTTGTGTCTAAGTTACAACATTGCTATCATATTATTATTATTATTTCATTTAAGGATTCATTTCTTGTCTGTGATTATTGAATTGCCGAAACGAAAAACTACTGTCCCTTGTTTGGCATAAAACGAATATTTTTCGGAAGCAAAATGCGTGTGGAAGTATCGAGTAACGAAGTAGTTACACGGAGAGAAATATTCAGTAAAAATTGCGGAACAATTCACGTAATCCGCAATGGGAAATCATTTTTCGGCAATTTTTATAGAAATGGAAGAAAAGAAATATGAAACGTTCAGTGAATTCTCAGGTTCATAATCGAACAAAGTGCGAAATTGTCACGTAATTTTTCCCGAAGAAGTAAAATCTTACAGAAACTTTCCGACTTATTATGCCTACAAAATCAAAAATTCGTGAACGTTCGACAATTTTTATGAAGTTGATAAGTTATTTCTACGTTTGGGAAAAATTACCGAGCGACTTGTTCCCACAGCGGTGAGTCATCAGACGCGTGGTTATTTTCATGGAACAAGTCGTAGAATTTACGTGGCGATTCGTACAATTTCAGAAACGTAATTTTGACTTTTTTTCTGGTAATTTTTATTGAATTTTTCTCTCCGTATAGTGCTGAAAGTTACATTTCTTGTTTGCACAGAGAATAAATTTTTTTAACTACTAAATCTATTTTTGCGACAAAAATTTTCCATCTCGGCGCACTCTGCGTGTTTGGCACAAAAAAATGCTTTTTTGATAATTTTTAAAAAATTATTTTTTTGCACAAATCAGATTTGTTTGAGAACTCTGTCATTTTTCTGAGTGTACTTTTCGTCACTAAACCGTTAGAATGAGCTAGAAAAGTTTTTCTCGGCTCTGTGACGAACGATATTTTTTGTCATGACGGCCGTATGCAGAGATTGATAAAAATGACAATGACAAATGAATGATAACAATATTTTCTTCGTCATCTAAGATATCTTCAGAGAAATTTTTAATTCTTCAAAAGAACTTATAAAATAATTGGTTTATAATTTTTAGAAATGGACAGAGTCTTTCAAATTTAAAATTGCACACTGATAGACAGATTCATTTATTCCAAACGAGATTCGTTAATAGTTAACGAATGGTTCACTTGAAAAGTGAAAATCGAGTCGAACAAGGCTCCTCAAATATGAATTTGTTAACTATTAACAAATAAACATTTGGTGAGACCGAATAGACCCTCGTCTCCAACCAAATCTATTCGTTAACAATCACTAATCCTTTCTATCAGAGCACGACGAAATGGAATTCATCATGAGACTTGCTTTTGAGAGAGAGAGAGAGAGAGAGAGAGAGAGAGAGAGAGAGAGAGAGAGAGAGAGAGAGAGAGAGAGAGAGAGAGNAGAGAGAGAGAGAGAGAGAGAGAGGGATTCATTGTTCTCAAAAACCCTCTCTTGCCATTTTCCTCTAGCCTACTTGTTTCAAAGATACTTGGATCCGTTTGAGTTTCTTGTATCGAGGAGGTTTATCCATTTTTCAAAAACCGCATTTTTTCTTTAAAAAAAATATCCATTTTTTTGGGCTGGTAGAAAGAGACTTTGATGAAGCCAATTTTTCTGATGAGTAAGATTTCGTACAGATTAGTTCGATCACTGGATGGGTTCAGACTAGTCGGTTACTCCTATCTATTTCATTCTGAATAATCAAATTGGGTTGGTGGACTAGAATTTTTATCAATGAAAAAGATAACTCTGTCTATCAGTTGAAAGAAAATCAAAAATTTTATGTATTTCGGCGCAGATTGAAAATCTTGATCCTTCTGCGAATTCTTTTGAAATCTAGAGAGAGAAATTGATCTCATGACAGAGAGAGTATCCAAATTTGTCGAATTATTGCCTTCGCCTTGTTCAAAACCCCCTTGGGGATTGCAAAGTTCCTCTGTTGTAGAACGGGTATCTCATCAGTTTTTGTAAAAAATAATCCATCTCCGAGATGACCATGAAATCGCAGGATCGTAATTACCTCAATAATTGACAATGGCGGCAAGAAAAGAACGAGAAATAGCCAAAAAGCTTTGTTAATACTTTGTTTATACTTTCGTCTGCACTGAGACCTTTCGATATGTTTGAGTTAAGGATATCCGAGTAGTTCGGACAATTTTTCCGGGGGGAAAATCTCTTGATAACTGATAGAATAGACCAAGAGTATTTTTTAGGCGTAATATGAACTTTAGTTTCTGAACATTTTTTCGAGAAAACAATTTTCGAAAGAATGGCATTTGACACCTTGTGTTCGTAAGAGCTGTATACTTCCACCTTCACTCCATTAGTTCATAATCTTGAAGCGTTTTCTCGTATACATAACCGTATCTGACTTTGTTCGTTATACTCTCTAATTTTTTTTGCGACATTAAAAAACTTAAGTTTCCGGACAGATAATTGCAAGCAATCAAATTAAGACATTCTCGATTGGTACGACGAGCATATTGGGCGTTTGAATCCGCGCCGTCCTGAAGTCTGGCAACGGTGCGCTCAAGTGACTACTCGGAACGAATTTAGGAGATTATATTGAACACATGTACAGTGTTGCCGTATGATCATTAGAAGTTAGAGCAACGAGAGTCAAGTGTAAAATTGAATAAAATATTATTTACAAAATTCATTGAAGAAATTCCCGAAAAAATATATTTAAAACTGCTAAAAAGTATGGGGATGACATTTTCGGCAAAACTGAAATTTTGCTCGAAAAAAAGTTGCTGAGTTGAACAAAGGGGGCGTCCATAAATCACGTGATCCAATTTTGGCTCATTTCTGACCCCCTACCCCCTGGTGATCAATCGTGACATTTCGTCGACCCCCCCCCCCCCC